AGATGTCCTGTGCTGCGGGACCAGGCAACAGCAGCAGCCTCCGAGGGGCGGGCAGCGCTGCTGTCGCTGCTTCCAGACTCATGATGTAGAAGTCCGACGACCACTTGCCAAAAGAAGTTCCATAGATATATACATATATATATATATGTATACACGTGTACATACGGACATACAAATATGTACTCAACCCTAAGCTTTTCCAAGCCCACTTATACTTCATGATGCAAAGGCGCACGGCATGCGGGAAGGGATCCACCTGAGTAAGAACTAGATAGGCAACAGTCCAGGCAACAGAGACTTAGCTGAATCCTAAACTCCAGACCCTAAGCCGCCCTTGAACCTAAACCATACACCCTAAATCCTACCTAAACCCTGATTCAGGTAGACTCTTCCCCAATCCTGCAGCCAGATGTGAGTCTTTCCAGTTCTAAGATTGAACAAGCACTGCACCCACCGGCAAACCCTGGAAGTTTTATATGTAACTAAAGATGGAGTCTGTGTGAAACCCTTTTACCCTTCCCAAGTCCCAAGTGATCCCCATGCATTGCGCCATGGCCCTCTCTACATTCAACGCTTCCAGCCAAAGCCGGTGACCCAGGCTCTCGACCCCGGCCTTGCATAGTCACCTGGCAGAACAGTATTGAAGTCGAACTCGAACCCCGCGTGTTCGCACTGTGTGCTGACAACATACCCTGAGGATTATTGTCAGAGGGATTGTTTGAAAGGCGTAAATTCTGTTCCGAAGACGGCAAGAAAACCGTCCGTGGTGGTTTCCAAAAATGGGGATCCCAATATGGGCCCCAATATAATATTTTCTAATCCTGATGATTAGGACCCCAAAGAGGAACCCCTAATTTTTTTGAAGCCCCCCCCCCGTAGTACCAGCAGCGGTAGCAGGAGGAGGACGAGGTGGAGCTGTGGTTTTAGTTCGTAGGAAGCGTTGCAGACTTAAAGTTGTAGTGTTGGTTGCTGTTGTGATGACGGCGGTGACCGATGCGCGGGCAATTACTGGGGTGACTTAATTCCAGCAGTCACAGCAGCGATGACACTGACAAGGACGAGAACCCACAAGAGGAAAGTCGTTGTTAGTGGCCCAGAAGGCAGGACCTAGGTTATTGATTAGGGCTAGGAGGAACGCCCCACCCTGTGATAGTGGTGTATTAGGCATATAAGAGGACCGCAACAAAATCCTTCTTCTCCCATATCGTCACTATTACAGGGTAGGGGGGCGGTGGGACCCACGAAGTAGGTAGTGATGGTTAGCACTCATGTAACTGCCGTGGACTCAGACCAGCTTCTGACATTTGTGTGAGATTTGGGTCTTGAGTCTTGAGGCTAGCTAGGGAAAAAACAGGTAATAACCGAGTAACGTTCTATAGTCTTACACTAGTGTTGCAGCGTAGGTTATTATCAAACTTATGGGCCCCTTTTGGTCATGGATTATATTGATTTTGGGGAACTACCCGTACATCTACCAAGTTTAGAAGTTGGAAAACGCCATCATACCTAAGGATACCCTAAACCCCCAAACCCTAAACCCCTAAACCCTAAACCCCCAAACCCTAAACCCCTAAACCCTAAGGATACCTGGCCCTCTTTGATGATGGGAGCCATTTGCAGCAGCTGTCGCCGCAGGAGCTCCTGGCGCCTTAGCTGCCTCAGCTGAAATGTCTCCCAACATTACTCCTGTAGAAATCTGGTTTAGGTTTTAGGGTTTAGGGTTTAGGTTTTAGGGTTTAGGGTCTAGGTTTTAGGGTTTAGGGTTTAGGTTTTAGGGGTTTAGGGGTTTAGGGGTTTAGGGTTTAGGGTTGAAATCTGGTAGATTCCCAAAATAAGGGACCCCAATATAGACCCCAACATAATATGGTCCTGATTAGGGGGACCCCCAAAAAGGTACCCCTAATTTTGGGAAGCCCCCATCTTACGTATTAGGGAACCCCCAAATCCCGATATAAGAGCCGAGAGGGCCGTCTCCAAAGGGTAATTCTAGAGAATCCTTTTGTATTTCCAAAAATTTCCATACATCCCAGGATCCCCAAGAGTTTTTTTGGTTTAGGGTTTAGGGGAAATTTTCAGACACAGTGATCATAGCGGGCTAAACAGCAGGGGGGTTAACACATAACAGATTTCATCCTTTACTTCGATCAAACTGATGGAGGGGCAAGTCCCTTGTGCTAAAATCTTCCAAAGCATTGCAAAGCTATTAGGAATGTCCTGTTTAGATAGCTTCGGAGGAAGTACCGCTCACAGAAAAGCTTCTGCCCAAATATTTGAGGCCAGGCTTTGGTTTCAAGAAGGGTTTAGGGTTTATAGTGTTTGGGGTGTTTGCGGAGGCCACACCGACACCCCACTCTAGCATGAGCACATTTCTGTCACTTGTTGAATTGAAGGTTTCTCAGTCACAGGGGACGGAAAAGAAAACGGAAACTATTTTCTTTCTGCCACTAACGATTCCTACTGCAAGTCACATGAACCCTGACCCATCCCAAGCCCCGCAAAATTCACTAAATCCTCTCCACTTCAGTGTTCTGGGCCTAGAACTTGCCCCGAAGCCTTAGCCCCATCACTCGCGGCTGGGCGTATCAGGACTTATGGGACCTATGGGTGTCTGCAGCGGCCTCTTGCTATTTCTTGCAAGTTCCCCCACAATTCCTGTATATCCCTATATATCCCTTAGGGCCCCCCCTCACTTTGAGAATCTCTCCTATTGCGGGATTCATGGCAGTCCACCCCTATAACCCCCTAAAACCCTAAACCCTAAAAAGACTGAACACTACACCCCTAAAGCCTAAACCCCAGACCCCTGAATCCCTAAACCCTAAAACCCTAAACCTTCCTATGCATTGGACCAAGGTACGGCTGAAGCAGGAGCTGCTTTCGGCCGAGCTGGTGCTCGGAAGCAACTGCTTGGATGGTCTTTTGACTTCGTAAATCTACCTACTATCCCTGTGGTGGAGCCCCCACTCAGTAATAGTGACTACAATGACTATCACGGCTAATGGTGGTTATGTTGGGTCCTCTGAAATTACCATTTTTCTACTGTCTCCGGGTGGGGGGTCCACCTAAACTGTCCCCAATAACCCCTAGCAGAAGCCCCATAACCCCAATTACTAAATAGACTTACTAAGTCAAGAGATCATCCAAGTTCGGAGAGAGTCTTGAGGTTGCGGGCTTAGGGCTTAGGATCCCTTACGTTGCAGGCACAGAACTCCTGGCATTTATGCCATCGGTTGTAGGAATTGATGGCTGAGATTTTCGGATCTCGGAAATCTTCAATATTTTGAAAAGCGGGTCAGCCACCAATTTTGTGTTAGCAGTATGTGGTAGTTTCCCTAAGTAGGGGGACCCCAATATACACCTTCCCAAAACAGGGATCCCCAAACAAGTACCCCCCAATTTTGGGGAAACTCGCCATGCTTGTCCTTGTTCCTGAAGATCAGGCCTCAGCCTCCACCTGATGAGAGATGCCGAAGTACTTACCTTTGGTTTATTGCGAATGAAGGAATGGAATGGAAAATGGAGACTACCATTATGGGATACTGTAGATAGGGACTATTATGTATAAGGATCCATTCCTTGATTTCTAGCTCACCAAAGGTAAGAGTAAGAGGTATGAGGTCCTTCGCTAAATCATGCGCGAGATGTTAGCCGTACGCTACGTAGCTTGATGCAACTGTCAAACTAGGAGGCATGAGACTGGGGGATGGGACGTGCGTTTGGGAATCCCGTCCCACGCAGCTACCCAAAAGAACGGGATGCCTAGCTTGGGCAGCGTAACCCTCAGAGGTTAAGCTTATGTTCGCCAGTTTTTTGTTGTGTGTTTTATTGTGATTTTTCTTCTTCTTGGAGATTTCCAACAGAAGGACTGCCTACGTACAGTTCGTCTCGGCTCCTCCTACCCCTGTTACTCCAGCTCCTATATGCCAGGATGGTTTTTCCTAGCCTCGGAAGGCTCCAAGTGTAGGCCCGCCATGTGCATTACAGCAGTTCAGTTGGTGATCCTAGAGCCCCCAATAGCAAGTAAGTGCCTCGGCCACCAAAAGAGCATCTATACAAATGAGCTATAGTCTAAACTCCCTCAAGGCGATTATACAGGCGGATTTTATAGGGGACTCTTATAGGGGTTGTCAAGGGGGATACTGCGAGTTTATAGACTATGGCTCAGATACATACGTTGCACCAAGTTTGCCGCCCCGAAGCTGGCGCAACAGAACCCTTTATAGCAGTATGGCATTTTTTTGTTCTGCAGAATCATGGTCTTCCTTCAATACTAGATAGGGACCGTGGCTAATAGGCCTGTCGTCCGCATGCTCCGAATTTGGAGGATTTCAGGGCAGGAGCTGCCTGCTGTCAGCACGGAGAACATTCGTGACATACACGAATTGAAGCGTGAGCTGTGCAATCTGCATTGCTTTCCCGTTTGCCTGCAACAGCTGTTGCACAAGGGCAGCAGCTTGGATGATTCAACCCAGCTAGACTTTCTACGGGATAGCAACAGCTTGCATGATTCTGCGCAGCCAGACGTGCTCGATGCTTATTCAATCCACCTGCAGCTTGTCCTGGCTACTGCGTCCACAGCTGCGGAACAAAGGGAGGCTTCCCATGCGTTTCGTGTTGCTTGTGGGCGTGGGGGTTTAGAGATCGCGCAGTTGCTGCTGGGAGCTGGTGCCAGCACGGGCTTGCGGGGTGGTGCGTTCAGGACGACAGCTCTCATGGAGGCAGCTAGAAACGGCCACACGGACATTACGCAATTGCTGGTCAAAGCTGGTGCCCAAAAGGACTTGCAGGATCAGAATGGCCGAACAGCTCTCATGGAGGCAGCTAGCAACGGCCTCACGAAGATTGCGCAGTTGCTGCTGCAAGCTGGTGCTGATGAAAAGGACTTGAAGGATAAGTCTGGCATGACAGCTCTTATGGAGGCAGCTTGCAGCGGCCACACAGAGATAGCACAATTGCTGCTACAAGCCGGTGCTGCAAAGGACTTGAAGGATCAGTGTGGCATGACCGCTCTCATGTTGGCAGCTTGCAGCGGCCACATGGAGATCGTACAATTGCTGCTGGAAGCCGGTGCTGAAAAGGACTTGACAGATCAGTGTGGCAAAACAGCTCTCATGTTGGCAGCTTCCATCGGCCACACGGAGATAGTGGAAATGCTACTGGAAGCCGGTGCTGAAAAGGAGTTGAAGGATCAGTCTGGCATGACAGCTCTCATGGAGGCAGCATGCAACGGCCACGCAGAGCTCGCGCAATTGCTGCTGCAAGCCGGCACTGACAAGGACTTTCAGCATGAAGACGGCCGGACAGCTCTTATGGTGGCGGCTGTCAAGGGCAACATAGAGATCGCACAGTTGCTGCTGCAAGCCGGTGCCAAAAAGGACTTGCAGGATCAGTGTGGCAGGACAGCTCTCATGGTGGCAGCTACCAAGGGCAGCATGGAGATTGCACGGTCGCTGCTACAAGCTGGTGCCCAAAAGGACTTGGGAGATCGGAACGGCAGGACAGCTCTCATGGAGGCAGTATCCTTTGGCCACACGCAGATCGCAAAGACTCTGCTGCAAGCTGATGCCAACGCGGACTTGCAGGACTTCCGCGGCAGGACAGCTCTCATGGAGGCCGCAGGTAAGGGCCACACGGAGATGGCACAGTTGTTGTTGCAAGCTGGCGCCGAAAAAGACCTGCAGGGTCACGAGGGCAGGACAGCTCTCATGGAGGCAGCTTGCGAGGGTTACGTGGAGATCGAGCAGTTGCTGCTGCAAGCTGGTGCCAACAAGGACGTTGCAGAATGAATCAGCTGTCGTGAAAGCATGTTGCTAGGGCTACACTATCGCATGGATGCTGCTAGGGCTTGCAGGATTAGCTCGGAGTCAGGCGTTGAGAGCCGCGTTTATGACAGTCTTGGCAGATATCTTTGATGTCAATGATTCTGAAAAGTTGGAACTTCATGAGGTTCAATGTTTCACGCATACCCTAGTGCCCTAGTGCCCATCGCACATGTGTAAACCAATTTAGATTCAGCAAAGTGCGGTCGACCTTGGAGCTCTAAAAACCAAGCATCTTGAGGGAACCGCATTGCAAAGAGGTTTGAACCCTGGGATTGAAGCCACATTCTTGATGACACGGACGTACAAGCTATACGACAAAAAACATGCTATGTAAAGTGTTTTCAAACCCACTCTCATCCTGGATTAATAGTTTGACAGAAATTAGTTGCAAGAGGTGGTTTACTGGAGGGCAGAGTCATGATTCCTCGAAACCGTACTGTTGATGGATGAAACGCTGCATGACATGAAGCTAGTACACATAAGGTCATGCCGGATTTTGTCCAAGTCACAGGCGCAATACAGAAGGTCTACTGTATGCGGTACAGAAGACCTACACAAGACTACCCACCTTCAGCTCAAAGGTGCTTAAGATGGGTGGAGCCGAAGAGTGATTAGATGAAGTGTTTCAGTTTAAGGGGGTTTGCTAGGAAAAGTCGTCCAATGCCATCAAAATGTGGGACAAGCACGATACGCATACACACAAACACACACCAAGAGTTATTGAAGTTTGCTGTGTAAACTTGCAGTCTGAGTCCCCTCAGACCCTGACCGGAGCCAGATAGAAGGTGTCCATAATGATTAATACATATACCCATTATGGTAACTTAAACTAAGTTCCTTGTCCTGAACTTCAGGGTTCCTCCGGGCCTCCCCTCTGGCTAATGCTAATGGCCCACCCGCCAAAATCCCCTTCTGGTTAATTACTACACTGCCAACCCCCTAACAGTAAATGCTTTCACGCTTTGCGTAGCTTGCTGGTGCGTAATGGAGGGCGGCGGAGCGTGTGAAGGTGCACAACTTTGGCTCAACTGCAGATCCAAAGCGCGAGGGCAACTGCGGCTTGGGTGTCTCTCGGCTGCTGAGACTGGCAACATAGCGGCCTAGATCATCAGATTTCGGAATTCTTTTTGGGCCACTTTTGTGCGCCTGGAAGCAACTGCCAGGGGATGGTCTTCCCAGTTATTCCGGTTGCTACGCTGCTTCTTTCATTCTTTCCTATTGGTGAGGGTGAGCGCCCACCGTTGCCCACTGAGTTTTTCTGTCTGGGGATCTCCATTGAAAACAGTAGGAAGCAACAACAGGCATTTGAGATAGTTGGTTTGTCGTGCGGGGTTGTTTTGTTTGGGGCTCGCCTGGGTAGGGGATTTCGCAAGTAGCAGATGCCAAGGATGCAATTTCCCTGGTTACCTGGTTGCCAGACGTTGCCAAGCTATGTACCTACCCCCCTGGCCCGCTATATATTGGGTTGCCATTACATTAAGGAGCTTAGCTAAAGTTACCATATTGTGGGTATTTCGTAAACAGTAGGGTTTGCTTGCTATAGTAAGTTCAAGTCCCTTAACAGCTACCCAGTCTAGGGTTTATAGGGTTTAGGGGCATCATGTTTTGGTGACAGTCTTGGTGTTGCAAGTTACATTCTTTTGGAAGAGCCAAGGGGTGCGCGAACAAGGTGAGAGTCTAGTCTGGAGTGGGGAGCAAAGCTTTCCTGGGCTTGGTTGACGTCAGGTGCATGCATAACTTAGCGGCTTAGACCCTTATGTTACCTTTGGACAGATTCTGCTTGGAAAAAACATTCTCTTTCTGCGGAGGTCACGTTGGAGCCTCAAAAGGGCCCTGACGCACCTTATCTCTACGAGGGCTGGATGCTGCAAGCATTGCATCTGATGCTCGGTCTTTGAGATTATGGGGAACGGTTTTAGAATCTTGGTGCCTCGTTGGAGCGCCGACTGCCCGCCGAGATTGTAGTCGTTCTGGTATATACTCGAGAACCCTCACGCTGTCAAAAGCACACACACACACACATCTCTTTTTATTGCAGGTTGTTCCTTACTGCGTCGATTGGTTCCGAAACGCTGCGCAGTTCTGATGGGCGCTCATGGGTTGTGGGAGCACGAATGCGTTTCATTTTTACCTCATGTTGAAAACAGCGGTGACTTTGTTTTGTGGAGCGCGCATCGTTCCAGTGCAGCCAGGATCCCACTGGATGTCAAGAACAACATCTATACCGACACCATGGAGCAACATCTCTTCGGCTGCTAGCCCAAATGGCACGTAACATTTTGGGTTGAAATGGGGTCTCGCCAGGGTCATTCGCCGGAGACCCTTCGTTTCTTTGGAGATACCAAGTTAGTGGTCCTCATTTCCTCGATTGTTGAAAACAAGCCTTGTCTAATATGCGGCACCATTTCACCTTCAAAATTTAGAATGGGGGGTTCTCAATATGAACCCCTCCGCCCTCCCCCAAACAAGAGAGGATTCTATTCATTAAGAACCTAATCTTACTGCTTTTTCTTTGTTTTGCGATGTAGATGCCGCGGAGGCTGGGGATGCAAGAAACACCCACTTACTGGTGGTTAGTAAGGAATATTGAAAATGATCCCCATATACACCCGGTATCATCTATTATATATTGCCATATTCCCTATAACAAAGCCAGTGAGAATTTGACAGATAATTTGATGTCTGCTGCGGGTGTGAGGCTACCCGCCCTTTGCAGATCCCTCGTGCCCAGACGTTGCCACCGCCGCGCAACGGCCAATGTACTCCGCGCTTAACATGTACCGCGCCAGCGGTGGGAATCCCCAGTGCGGCAGCCGGACAGCAACTACGGACTGTCAATGTTCTGGATCCTTGCTGGACTTGGCCTTTGTGTGGCGCTAATTCGGTGGATCTATAGTTTGCAAACTGTTGGAGAAATGTCCAGACAGGCCTGCAATTGAGCTGCCGGGTTTTGCAGGGCTGCTTTTCCAACTTCCTCTAAATCTACCGACGTGTTGAGGCTCTAAGTCCCAAATAGCTCGAGCCCCTACAAGTCCCCAACCCTAAATCCTAATCCTCAATAGCTTTGGTGCCCGACCACAAGGCCCCATCTCAGCAATCCTTTCCCGCAGCTACATCAACGGCACTGCTGTGGCTGCGCCAATCGACACCGGCCTTTTTGCCGGGCTCCGCGGGTTCTTCAGTAAAAGGCTTTCGGCGTTTCTGGTGTGGCGATTTGGGTAGGGCTTTAGATCGTAGGTCTTGGGTTTTGGGGTTGTGGGATGTAGTGAACATAAAGCCGCATCTACCACAGTTTTATGGGTTAGTTCTACCTATCAGTTATGGGATAAGTACTACAAGGCTGTAGGTATTTGAGATTACAGGAACACATACAACAGGAAGCTGAGGTTCTGCGGCCTTGATGCCAAGGACCTCCGTGGGATAAGGCATGAAGTGGACAAAGCTGGATGTTGACCTTACGCCGGGACGAGCTCCTTTCTAGATGATTTTCTATTGGTATGGATTCGAAGTAGGAGAACCTGCGATTTCTTAACGTGTCTCCTCGCTCATCCTGTTTGCCTGAAAGTCGTTGGCCTCCAGCTTCCGTTGATCAGCGGACAGCGGCGAAAGGAGAGCGTGGAATTCAACGGCGTCCGCTGCCTGCGATGCAGCCTGGCGCTTTTGATGCATGCATTCTGAGAAGACCTAGTCCTAGGCCCGCAAGCGTGTCAAGTCTGTATGCCCTTGCTTGGTTTCTGAGATCGAGGCTTCAGGTGGCTGGCCACAGCTAGCTAAAATCCGGCAAAACTGATGTTGTGAGGTCATCCTCAGGCTGTGGCATGGGCCATGATGAATGTTGCCGGTATGAAGCCAGGCGTATGTGCTTTGAATTTGAATGATCCCTCAACGTACTGCGCATGAATCTCAAGACTGCGGTAGCACGGCTGTGCTCATGATTCAGAAGTGGAGGTTTTCTGAAAATATCTTTTAAGAAGGCTCCTTAGTCCATTGGTAATCTCTGAAAATGCCTTTGATCCCCTAAACCATCCTTATTCGGGGAAATTTAATTGAGCAGGGGCTTTCAGAAGAAGGTTTGGTGTAAGCAAAGTGTTGTGTTTCGTAAGATATCTATCGTAGGCAGTTCTGTGGTAACGTTGTTGCCGTAGGTAAGCTGCTGTTATGGTTCATGTTGTTGTTATATGTGCCAAGCAAACCAGTCCTGCAGTTGCAGCAGCTGCAGCAAGCCGGCGCGAGCAGCGTAAGCAGAAACAACAGCAAAGTCATGTGGTAAGCAAAGCTTGGAAAACTTGAGCTACTGTAAGAATTTTTATTTCACCCAAATAAGGTAGGATTAGGGTTTCGGGCACCGCTCAGTTGACCTTCCGTTTCCCTGGTGGATCTCAAAGTCTTGTGTTCCCCCGGGTAACTGCTCCAAAGGAATCCTTCCTGAAGCATGCCTCCTCAATCAGAAGGGGTTGTTCCCAGAAATGCTCAAAGACTGAAACCCAAGGCGAAACATGGTCGACAGCGGCTCAACGAGTTTTGGGGACGCCCGAGCTCCTAGAGCATTTGCTGCCGGTATTTCTGCGCTTCTACAACTCCACGCAGGAAGTTGCAGGCAGCTTCTTTTCAGTAGAGCATAGGGCAACTGCTAGAGGTTGGAGGGATTCAACTGACAGGAATTAATTCGCCTAGGATGCCCGGATGTGGGCATGGCGATGGGCTGATGGGCATGCTGCAATATGCAAACAGCTGTCGGATAAGAACATCTTGCTTAGTTTGGCCGTGGTGCATCAGGCGACGAATATGTGGAGCCCCGATATACGCCCTGGTTTCCATTCCATTTTCCAAAGTCTTTAGCACTTGGGGCAATACCCCTAGAACCTATTTAATTGCTGTATAATCCTTATATAAACCTTATATAGCCCTTTGTCATTGCAAGCAGTTCTCCTCAGACAAGGCGACGAATACGTGGAGTACAATCT